ATTATATACGTACATTTTTGTAGATCTTTATTCAAGAGCAAAAAATCAAAACAAAAGCAAAATAATGGCATGAAGCTTCTACAATTCAGTTTACATTGTTCAGACGTTGTACATGATTGCATATTTTTTGCTGTTTTAATTTCTTTTTCTTTTCTTTTGAATATTAATCATATGATAATAGGACAGCAAGACGGTAAAACTGATAGAAGAGATGGACTAGTGGTCTTTTTCTTCTGTTCCACTATCCCCATCTTGCATTCTCATAGAAGATCAATTCCCTTCTCTTCTCATTTCTATGGTTATTTTTATTATTGTGGATGTTTCATATGGTAGAGGGAACTATTGTATATGAATTGTATTATAACGATTTATCGACTTGTCAGCTATGGAATAAATCGATTGTTTGATTCATATTTTTTGCCACCAATCTCATTGTTAATGACAAAATTGCTTTATCCAAATCAAATGTGCATTCATATGTATCATCTTAATGCTCTTGTACAATCTTCGAATTTGGTTTGTTGCTCTTATTTTTAATTATTTGTTTGTGTTATGATATGCATTTATTTAAACCAAGTTTGGTTTATCCGTCATACATTCCTTCACATTTACATGTTACTTGACAAATATTCGATATGGGTTTTTGTTCAACTAGATTCGTAACTACCATTTGAAGTTTAATAGGATAGGAAAAAAATATTTTAATTTCTAATCGTTATAATCTTTTTTTAGTATTTCTATTCCATGTACAAATGTTAATTTCCACTTGGTATTTCATTTAGTTGTTTTTACCATTTCCATCTGTTGTAGTTCTAATGTATTTCATGGTTTCTTGAATATATTTATCGATGATGCGTCGGGTACTTCGACATAATAAATATTGCTTTAAGTTTATTTATATTATGCTATTGGTTATTATCATTATCGGTTATTTGAAGTAGTTAGGATGCCAGGTTTTTAATAATCTTAATTTTAATAGATTGTGCATGATCTGAATAGTAATTCAATAGTCTAACCGATACTGTTTGTTTTCTATGCCGTTCGATACTAATCATATCATCATTGTGTTTTGACAATATCTTATCGAGGAAATTATTGGTATTGTTTCTTTCATAATCATAAGTGAAACTAATTTTATTTTTCTTTTCATTAAGCCCATCAACATATGATTCAACATGTTTTTCATTCATTGGAATTGTTATAAGAATGTCATCGACATACCTTCAGAATTTAAAAATTAAAATAATTTAAACAATTTTTTTCATGTATTCATTCATGTAAAGTTTAGCTACAATGAGCCACAAAGTGTTACGCATATGTAAAGCCTGGTTTTGTCTATAATATTTTCCATCAAACTGGCAATAATTATTGTTTAATGATAATAATAATTGTGTTAGGTCTATCTTAATCAAGTTTGATGCACAGAAATTTTCGGAATTAACTGTTGTACAACTTAAATTTTGGATTGATCCGCTTAATTATTGAATAAATGACAATTCATATCTTGATGCAGGTAAGAGCATTGTATTGCTTGTATTACTGATTGATTCTCTGAACTTTGGTAAAAAGCAAAATGTCGAAAAGTAGAAATATCGTACTGTCGAAGTTTATAAAATAAAATTGTTCAGAGATATGCTTTCCAAATATTATTCATAAAGATGTCATTGCAAGTTTATTTTAATTGCATTGTGTTTGGTTAAACAGCGTGGCGAAGAACAAATGATACGCCCAAAAATTTTAACTAACATGTTCCATTGATTTATCGAGAATTTTTTGCTTGTCTTTTATCCATTTCTTATTTAATAATAAAATTCAATTACATTAAACTCTTGATCATTTTATATGCTCAGTAGAAAAAATCTAACTCTGTTTTGATATTTTTTGTCCTCCAATATTTTTCCTTTCGACATTTTTATACTTCGATATGCTATGTATATTTCGATATTTCACCTTTCAACATTTGTATAATTTTTTTCGACATTCATTTCGACATTTTTACTTTTGATCAAAGTTCAGATTACCTTTCTGATCAATTGCATTTGGTCATATTATTTATGTACTTTAGGTTGTCCTCGTATTTTTGGAAAATCATCGATCGATGAAAATTAATTTCTAATGTTTAGAGTGATTCGATTCGATTTTAATAACCTATTGTTAAGTGTTGTTATTTTTGCCTCGATCATGGTGGATGGAATCTGAGTGTGGTTCAGCCGGTGTCGGTGTGGAGTGGGTATTGCTCTGTAGTTGCAACCTCCCAGACACCTACATCCAAGCAGAAATGTCTTCTGATTGCTACTTCTCTCAAAGCTCAATTTAGTTTTTTCATTCTTTCATTCACACAATCAGGACATCCAATAAGAGTAGAAAGAAAGCCATCGAAGTAATGATGTTCTTGTTCCTTTGTCATCCTTATTAGAAAAACAGAGACATTCACATTTAAAAATAGTGATGTATGAGACAAAGTATCCAACGTTACGCCACCTAAGTCAAGGCATTGACAAAAATCAAACAAAATTTGAAAAGAAAAGAAATCCAATCAACCATGTTGTTGAATTTTTCTCTTTCGTTCTTTTTATTGGCAATCATATTTTTTTCTTAAAACTCAATGAAGTCTGTTGTTGACTATGAACAATGAACAAAAACTCACATTTAATGTTGTAGAAAAAGCAGCACGCCGATACTATATAAGAAGGATGTGGGTGTGCGAGAACTGAATGCTTACACTCACACACTCAAAAGATGTTCCTATCCTCGGTAACAACCACTTACAATAGTTATGAAACCCAAGTCATTCGAGAAGGAACTATACAAATTCCAGAGACATGGAAAAATACCAGTGCACATCAAATTTTTTTGAACTCCAACGTTTTCCTACATTTCCATCTCGGTTACAAGGAGTTGATATGTAACTTATAAAGCTCTCTTGAACTTCTTCAATTTCGAGAATTTCATTGAATTTTTTTAATTTTTTTGATTTTCATGGTAGTTATGAGCAGTTGATATGAACGATATTGGAATCTCTTGAATTTCCTACATTGTCCTTGAATTCCAAATTTCTAAGTAGTAGGAATATCTCTCAAACTTGAATTTACATTTCTTGTTATTACTTTTTTCGTTCTTGCCAGTAAAGAGAAAACACTCGTTCTAAAAGCTTCAAAGAAAAGTAAACACGAGTGAGACAAGGTATGCCACGTATTGACATTGAAGCAATTCATATATATTTGAAAAAAAATAACTGAAAACGAGAAAGAATCACAATAGAAAAAAAAATGATTGTGTTTTATATTTCTTTTCTCTTTGGCTTATTGTTGACAACGGTATTTTGAATTGAAACTAGATGAAGTTGACCAATGAATGTTAACAAAGATGGCGCATCACATGTTTGAAGTTGTAGAAAAATATTGAAGAACAAAAAAAGCATGCATCAAATTTATGAACAGAATTGGTGACTTGTTTTCCAACATTAATTCACTACTGTGTGACTGTAAATTATTGATCCAACATCACAATTTACATACAAAATGAGCGGAAAAGAACGACGGCGCATAGTTGAAAATAATTTGGTCATTTGGGCCGATGAAAATATTGATCAAATGAATCAAGATCGTCAAAATATACTCATACAATTGCGTAGTGTCATCAATGCAGTGGAAACATGCACCACAGCAGAAGCGTGCATTCAATATCTTCACGAAAGTAACGAAGAAACAGCATTCATCATATCCTCAGGAGTACTTGCTCAAAGAATAATGCCAGATATTCATGGTATTTCAAAATTAAATGCCATCTACATTTTTTGTCATAACAAAGAGCAAAATGAAGAATGGGCTAAAAACTGGTTGAAAATAAAAGGTGTTTATACCTCAATCAAGCCCATATGTGAAGCACTGACAATGGCAGTTAAAGAATGCAATCAAAATAATATATCGGTGAGCATTATGACTACAAATGAAGAATGCTTCAGCAAAAATCTCAATCAACTGGAACCTACTTTCATGTATTCTCAAATTTTCAAGGAAATTCTTCTCGATATGAAGCATGATCACCAAGCCATTAAAGATTTGGCCACCTATTGTCGAGAATTATACATGAAAAATGATGTGGAAACAAAAAATATCAATGAATTTGAACACAATTATCAACCATCAAAGGCCATTTGGTGGTACACACGTGAGTGTTTCACATACAAAATGCTTAATGGAGCACTACGAACACTAAATGGTGACATCATCATTAGAATGGGTTTTTTTCTTTGCGATGTACACCGACAAATTGAAGCTTTACACAAAGAACAGGCCAACCAGTATCATAAGCCATTATCAGTTTATCGAGGTCAGGGATTGTCCATTGTTGACTTCAATAAACTTGTGCAAAGCAAAGGTGGACTGATGTCGTTCAATAATTTTTTATCCACTAGTACGAAGCGACACGTCTCCCTGGATTTCGCTAACTGTGAATCAAGAAAAAAGGGTGTGGTCGGTATCCTCTTTGAAATGAGCATAGATCCCAAGGTGTCATCTACTCCGTTCGCTTCCATTCGTGAGGTGAGTGAATTCGCGGAGGAAGAGGAAATCCTCTTTTCGATGAATACAATTTTTCGAATTGGTACCGTTCGAAAACTTGACAATAACCGTCCACTTTATCACGTTGAACTTAAGCTTACATCAGACGATGACCAAAATCTTCATCAACTAACTGATCGCATACACAAAGAAGTTTCAGGTTCAACAGGCTGGGACCGATTGGGTCGATTGCTGCTCAAAATAGGCCAATTCGACAAGGCCGAAGAGTTATATACAGCACTACTTGAGCAAACATCAGACAACAGTGAAAAGGCACATATCTATCATATGCTTGGAATGCTGAAAACATATCAAGGACAATACAGAGAAGCAGCTTCATTTTACGAAAAATCTCTTGAGATTTACCGAAAAACTCTTCCGGAAGACGATCCTTCATTAGCTACTTCTTACAACAATATAGGTCTAGCGTATAACGAGATGGGTGATCGCTCGAATGCACTTCAATTTTACGTAAAAGCACTTAAAATCTATGAAGAGGCTCTGCCTGTGGATGATCCCGCGTTTGCTGATTCTTACAACAACATTGGTGGAGTATATAAAGATATGGGTGACTATTCGAAAGCACTAGAATTTTACGAAAAAGCATTTAAAATAGATGAAAAAACTCTACCTTCGAATCATCCCGATTTGGCTATTTCCTACAGCAACTGCGGTTCAGTGTATAGCAAAATGGGTGACTATTCGAAAGCACATCAATTTTACGAAAAAGCACTTAAAATAAGAGAAAAAGTTCTGCCTTCGAATCATCCAGATTTGGCTGAATCCTACAATAACATTGGTCTAATGTATAATAACATGAGTGACTATTCAAAAGCACTCTCATTTCTGGAAAAGGCACTTGGTATCTTACAAATGACACTTCCACCTACACATTCTCGTATTCAAAGTGTGAAAACAGCTATTGATAATGTAAAAAAGATATAAAAATGTTTTTTTTTCTTGTGCCTTGCTCGATAAACCTCTTTTTTTTTGGTATTGCTATCCACAAATTTTAAGGGTGTGAGTGTGAGAGGGTGTGGATGTACGTATGGGATGTGGGTGTGGTGGGTATGGACGTGGATCTTCCCTAAATTAGCACCCACACCCCAATAGTAACGGCCGTATTTGGCCAAAACACTAGGGATCGTGTTGCATTTTTCAGAACTTTCTTTGTCTTTGTAGAAAAAATTTCAATGCAGTTTGTATGGGACTAGGATTGTGAAGCTATTAAAACCATTCTCATCATACATGAAGTCCTTTGTGTTAAACACTATCAATGATGAGAACGCAAGAGTAGCAAGTCGACAGAATCATCAAGACGCATATAGCAGGTTGCAGAAAAAGAAGAAGAAGTGAGAACTGAAGAAAAGATACGAAGCAAGTAAATCGGTTTAAAAATCAACCTTCATTGCAATATTCACAACTTACTTATTTTTGTTTCGTTTGTATACAATTCTTATTCGAGTTCTATATTTTAGAGATATTGAGCGCTACGCTAAAAGCGTGCTTATGAAAGTGAGAAAGCTTGTCTTTATTTATGAAGAATTCCAATATATGGTAGTGTTTTATTTAATTGTGACGTTTTTCTATTACTTGACGTGATAACAACAAGTTTTCAGATATCTTCAACGAGAACTGAGTCTCTGCAAGTGAAATAAATTCCTGTCCTAGCTACTCATCACAGTTATACTATCATTGGTTCTGTTTATCTTCACATATCTTCCAGCATATGAAATATGTCGGTGGTTCAAAGACAAAACGGGCATAGGTTTATCATATATGTACTCCCGACCTTGTGCAATTTAATTTTCCAATGTATGTGAATAACAGGTGTTCGTCTGTAGTTTCATGGGGATTTGAACAGAGAATCTTTCGAAAAAAAACACAGCTCAAAATCATGAAATCTTCAAAAGATACGGGAAAATACTAAGACCATCATGTATATCTGTTTACGATGCAATAATGATGGAATACATTGGTGTACTGACTGTTTAAAGCATCGTCCTGTGCATATAAGATTTCATGATTGATTGGTATAAATTTCGTAGAAGAACATCTTTTTATATGAAATAAAATAATGGCATAATAATAAAGTTGTGAAAGTCCATCAGGCAACTTCCAAGATGCACAATGAAGTTAATCTATCGTTACAACAACATATAACGAACATCAAGGGAGTCCTTCTGAAAATAGGTCAGGAACTTTCCGAAAACATAGACCATGATATGATTTTTTGAAGAAAATATACAGACCTTACGCGAAAGAGTTTGTCGACTTCGAAGTGATTTTGAAAAATCAATCAATCTGTCAGTTATTGTAATCATTGTAAAGTCGATGGCTGATTTCAAGTACAATTACGTGATCCACATTGAAGAAAAGTATAATGATAGTAAGATATATCTCGATGTGCGTCTAAGTCTAACTAGATTTTGCTCGTAGATGTCACTGTGGATTTGAATGGATTGGTGGCAGAAGTACATTTACACGTTGATTCGAGTGATTAGAAAAACTATAGTGACAGTGCACAATCGATGTTTAACGAATAAAATGGTAAAAACTTAGGCAAATCATTCTAGACAATGGCTCTTTTAACTGTTTTATGACAAAAAATAGTGCATGGTCAGTGCCTATGACAAAGCAGTGACATATTTGAAAGCTTTATCCATATAATTGAAAAATGCAATTAAATCGCTTCTTTTTCGTTGTGTCATAGACTAATATTATATCTTTATTCTAGTCCGATTTATTAGCTTTTGTCAAAAGTATGAATAAATAAAAACGAAAAAACAGTTAATCCTTTTGTTTACTCAGCATGGAGGTAGCATCGATGGAATATATTGTTAAACAAGAACTATAAAACAGACATCGAACTATTAACAAAACAATATTCAAAAGCGACATGTTTCGTTCGCTTATTTTGTTACTCGTCTTGTGCATAGCTATTGGATTGAATGATAGTGAGTTGATTCATGTAATATCAGTAACTTTTGCCTGTTGATTCATTTCAGGCGCAAGTTCAAATTGGCTCGGGAAATTTAACGTCAGTCCTTTATGTGATAAACAAGTCTGTTGCTGTCTTACTGGAGAAGTACAAGTAAAAGGCTTTGCCTATTTCTTCATGAAGATATCTGGTAAATTAGCTGGCCAATGTAAAGAACTTTCGACATTTTTCCTACCGGCTACGAAGCCGTCTACTTACACAACTACATTGCCGATTATTGGCACATTGAAATTAAGTGAAGACAGTACAATGTTAACAGCAAAATCACCATTAGGTCCACAATGTAATGGTCGCGCTGTTCGACAACAATAACAAAAACATAGGAAGCCGTACATCATAGATTTTAACTCTTTGAGTCCGAAATTATTTTTTCTGAATTGACGTAAACGAGACTGTCAGATTAGCTCATTTTACACAGAAAAACACATGAGAAAGCTATTTTTCACGTTCATATAATTTAGTCAATGTAGGTTTTATTGAATTTTGTTGTTCTTGAATGGAAACTTTAGTTGTAAAGTTTATTGATTTCAAACCTTATACATAAGTTTCATGAAATGACAAAAAACAATTTTTATTTCGTTTCACACAAAGAGAAACAACACAAAAACTGCATTTTATGCTGCTAAACACTGGACTTGATCTTGTACTGCAGTATCGACATCTTCCTCTGGACCCAGCTATAGGCATATGTGCTAGTAATTTACTAGGTGAAGATTTATTTTGCAACGTTTGTTGAATTTGGTTTCGCTTTTTGACGGAAAAGTGAATCGGTGCACCTTTTGTTTTCGATAACTTTTGATCAGCAATTAGTGACGTGGAGACAGAAGAGAGGAATTCTATGTAAGCCATCTTCTGTTCACTCAAATCATTATAACAGACGAATGCATTCGAAAGACTTGCTTGAAGAAAGTAAATAAATATACGGAACCAGTTTCGCTTGGATTTTCTGTCAATTGAACAGCAAGAGATTCGTTGATCAAACCTATCAACACCACCTTTGTATTTATTGTATTGAAATACCAGTTGTGGACAAATAATGACTTGTTTCGAGCCATCTTTTTCTCTTCTACTAATCGTTTCCGTTTTTCTCGGATCAAAACAATTACTTGAAATAAATATCGGTTTCTTGTGTTGCCACTTGACCACTGATATTTGGTTATAAGTACAATACTTATATTCACCTCGTTTTAATTTATCTTTTTGTAAGAGTTCTTTCGGAAATAACTTTCGATCAGTTCTGATTGTGCCAGTTGCTCCGATTTTCTTCCTTTTCAGTTGTAACAGTAGAGTGATCGATGTAAAATAGTGATCAAAAAATAACTGGTGTTCTACTAGATTAATTTTGCTAATAAGCTTCAATACAACATTCTCGCCTAATGTTCCTTGTCTATTCTCTTGTTTGCCAGAGTAGATATTGAAATTATAAAGATATCCGGTTGAGCAATCTGCCAAACACCACACTTTGTATCCTCGCTTTATGGGCTTCAAAGGTATATACTGCTTCAACGAACGTCTTCCTTTAAATTTTATCATGCTTTCGTCAATGCAGACGTTGGTTCCCAAAGTAAAATTTTCTTGAAAGTTTCTTTTCAGTAATGAAATGAAATCGAAAACGTTGAATAATTTGAATTCGTCGGAACTTTTTTCAAATTGATCTTGTTTTGCATTATCTGCTAAATGAAATGCAGTAAATATTCGGTAGAATTCATCTCTCAGCATAACATCAGCAACCACTTCTGTATGAAATATTTTGTTTCTACTCCAATAATCTCTTAGTCGAGGCAATCGATGTAAACCCATAATGATTAGTAAACCTAAAAAAGAACGAATAGCACTTTCATTCACCTGTTGCCAATCATTTGTACGATTCTGTGCTAAAGACTCTTTCTCTCCATATATATTTGTGTGTTTCACCATCAATTCAATAACATCTTTTGTGAAAAATTTGTTGAAGACGTCAATGAGTTTGATGGTCTTGGTAAAAGTGATGGTTGTTCGTCCTTGCACTTGATTTAGAGAGAAAACTGTGTCTCGAGTAAATTTGTGACTCCAATTCCGTTCAAATTCTTCTCCATCTTGATCTTGATCTTCCTCTTCTTCATCTTCCTCTTTATCTTGATCTTCTTCATTTTCCTCTTCTTCAAGATCACTTCCGCTCTCGTCGTCAAAATCGTTTTGTTCATCAGACAATGAACCACTTGTGCTGCTTTCTTGATCAGATTCCATTCACTTCTGTTTTTTCGACGAATTTTATTCTAGAAATGAAACAGCAAGAAACCCGACTTGTAGATTAGTATCAGTTGATATATAATAAGTTTATTTTCAAAATGACAAAACCACACATGCTTTAGTAGAAAAACGGGAGGTATATATAGAAGAACTTAGATGGAAAACTCCATCATATAACATACTTGGCAATATATCTGATATGTTCAATCAACGTAAGAAATTAGAAGGAAAAAACCAAAAGAACATATCAAGGAATAAACCTTGACAGAACGAAAGAGAAATAGAAATACTTAATATATATATATGTAAAGAAAGAAAGAGAACGAAGAAACACATAGAGTTAAGTATGTGCCATAACACCGATCTTCACCCCTGTTGCACGCAAATCTTTGTAAATGTGCGAGATTAAGCACTAATTTTCATGAAATATGCCGTAAAAAATAATCACAAAACATGTGTAGCATTTTTGCTACCATCGGACTCAAAGGGTTAACAAAATGAATTTATTCATTGTTTCTTCTATATGAATAAACGAAGTGACCGCTTATGTGCTTCCTTATGGACGATGAAACTGTTCGAGCGTTGTTTAAAAATCTATTTATGGAAAACCATTCATAATCGATAGGTGTATGATTAGATGTAGCAGAAAGTAATTATCCATGTTCGAAATCGAACTGGATATGTTTATTGAAAAGTAGCGTCAAAACGTAGGATACTATTTTTCAATTCTCTCCTAAGTGAAAGAAATGATGGTTACCATTTCCAATCAATACTCGGTCTTTTTCGCATGAGATCGGTTACTTGGATTCACAATTGTGTCGGATCACAGTCCATCGATAAGTTGCGATGACCATGTTGAATCGAATACAGTTGCCACTGTGTCGAGAAGATTATCAAAATAGCTACAAATGACATGTGGACGAAAATAGTTGAGTTTTTGACAGTAGGATGTGAGTGTGACACTAGAATCTCACACTTATACGCCCACACCTCTCAGGTATTGCTAAGAATGTGATACTACGATGGAAGTGAAATGATGTCGAGAAGTGTCAAAGTTTTGATGCTCTTTCGAACAGACGACCCAAGTCTAAAGCATTAACATTAACGCCTAAAATAGACAGATGTGTTATACTTGATGATGTCATAGTTGTCTCTGGAAAGCGGTTCAATTCCAATTGAAAGTAACAATAAGTCAGCTTTGGCAGACTCCATATGCAGTTGATCAACAGAAGCATACGTGGTAGATTCAGGCTCTCATCCTTCTGGGAAACACAATATTCAATGATCAAATGAACGAGATTCATCAAGTGAGGTAATGCCAACGTGATTTTGTTCATTAACTGTTTAAGCGGCAAATAAATCAAAGAAAGCGATTTGAATTGAATAAATTGATCTAATGTGAAACAATGAGCATTCCATCGATTGATTGGTTCAATTGAATCGCTTTTTGCTGATAAATACAATGAGGGTACTTTATTAGTCAAATTCGGAAGATATTCACGACAGATTATATGCAAAACATTCATATACATCGATTGAAAATGGAAACCATTGATGAAGAAATGAGGAAAAAGAAGAGAATCAAATCGAGATTTGAGACCATGAAATACATAGGTAAGATCATTGGTAGATAGATATTCGAATAGATGAGGTAATATTTCATTCATCAAAGATTCTAATGTTATTTTTGTCTTTTATCGATATCTGTTAGAACAATCAAATGACAGAAGATATTCATACACGAAGTATCTGAAAGAAAATTCAATGTCAACTTTTACAACATGTTTTTGATGAATGCATCGATGAAGAAAGAGACATGCAATGGATTTCTTTCGACATATTGATTTTCAGCACTGCAAGTTAATCATTCATAAAACTAAATAAAGAGATAAATATTCGCTAATATCGATGTCTCATTGAATGATGATGTTCTGTTGCTCGTTTGTCGACTGATGCATTAAACATATGGATGACTACCTAGTGTCATGAGTCATACTTACAAACATCGTATCGCTTAACAACATTGAATCGTTTGACAACTTTGATAAAAATAAAAAAAAAAGAAATGCTTTGATGTTACGAGCAAGTCATCTATTTATTCCTTTCATTCTCGCTGCTTTCATTTTTTTTCGATCGTAATCAACATATCAGATGCATGAGTGAGCCATCAAGGACGAAATATGTCTCTCCTAGTTTCGTTTGAACATACTTCCAGTGCAGCCGTTTTTTTATTGGTTATTACTGACATAAGTGAAACACAAAAATGATGTGGGTGTGCGTAGATGTGGAGTATGACTCTCAAAACAGCTGAAAAGAGTCACATCCACACCCACAACTGACTGCTCTCACCCCCCGTATGCTAGAGAGTCTCTCTGGAAAAAATCTGTGAACTTTCTTTATTCCTTTCTTTCTCGATAAATTGGTTGTGATTACTATTTACCCTCTGCAACTTTATCTATTCACTATTGCGCGCGATCAAGAAAATCGTCTCTGAGCCTGAAGGGCACGTACAAGCCAGAACGCGAAACCGAATTGAATAGACGAATGATTCGAATAGAATCGAATAGAGAATTTCTTCAGTCGAGCCAAATCGAATCAAATTTGCGACGCCTCATTCGGCTTTTCTTTTCGTTCGATCTTATAATAATGTGACACGCTACTGATGATTGGTTTGGATGAACAATACATACAAGAGAACACAACACCAATTTAGAAGTTGTAATTAACTTCCTCTAATTGTTGTAAACGCATTCGTTAACTATGAACGTGTAATCAGATAACGAATATGTATGATATAATCTAATGATTCTTCGATAAATTAAATACTCTTGATGCATATTTATTGACAGCTGTATAGAGAGTTTTTTTCTTAATAAATTTCATAATAGAAATAGTATATTCATTCTTAATGATAGACATGTATAAGTAAAGTGGTATGTTTATCTGTTCATATCAATACTGTTTAATTATGCTTACTCATTTATTCTTTTTCAAATGTTTTGGTTATCGCTCTTGAATGAAGGATTGTAAAGAAAACCATCTTCTATGATTTTATTGTAAAATGTTTTGGTTAATTTTCGTAG